GGAGTTACCATTGCTAAATCCTCACCATCTGTATCCTGCCAATTAACACTGACCAGAAATTGAACTGGACTAGCCGTGCAAATACTGTGATATACAAGTCAGAAGCTAAGAACTCTACAGTGAGCAACTCCCCTCCTGACTCCTCCAGATCCACTATCTACAAGGCACAAGTGTAATGGAATCTCCTCACTCACCAGGAGTGCACCTTCAACTACATTCAAGAAGCTCGACACCTTTGAGAACAAAGCAACCTGGTTATTGACATCATGTCCACCAACATTCAATTACTCCATCACCAAAGGTTTGTAGGAGCAGTGTGAGACATATACAAGATGCACTTGAGAAATTAATCAAAATTTTCAGACAGCAGATTCCAGGTCACTCGCCACGCTGACTTGGAAATATATTGCCATTCCTATAGTGTTGCTGAGTCAAAATCCTGGAACTGCCTCCCAAAAAGTACTGTGGATTTACCAAATAGACTGCAGCAGCTCAAGAAGGCAGCTCACCTGCACCTTCCCAAGGCAATAATGGCATGCCAAGGGCAATGAATATTGAAACAAAAACAAAGTTGCTGGAAAAGCTCAGCAGGTCTGGCAGCATCTGTGAAGAAAAAAACCAGAGTTAACGTTTCGAGTCCAGTGACCCTTCCTCAGAACTGCAATGAATACTGGCCTAGGCTGTGAAGCTAACATCCAATTATTGAAATTTTAAAAAAAATTCTTTTAAGTTTCTACTGTATTCCATAGTAGCTTCTATGTGGTTTTATACTTTATGTTTTAAAGTCAGTTGTATGTGGATCATAATAGTCTGTTAAGAAAAGGTCAATGGGAGAGAAGGGAATGTAGCAACGAAAACAGAAGTTGCTGGAAAAGCTCAGCATATCTGGCAACATCTGTGAAGAAAAATCAGTTAACGTTTTGGTCTGGCGACTCTTCCTCAGAACAGTAGCATGTTGCACTCAAAATTGATGCAATGACCGGAAACCGAGGGTAATAGCAGACCGACGTTTTTGCAAACGTACAGTGCTCGGTTTTAGGTCTAAACAAACTTAAAAAAGAACTGCAGATGCTGGATATCAGAAACAAAAACAGAAATTGCTGGAAAGTCTGGCAGCATCTGTGAAGAAAAATTAGAGTTAATGTTTCAGGTCCAGGGACCCTTCACCTGAGGATGGTGGATGCCTGGAATTTGATGCTCGATTTGGTGGTTGAAGCAAAAACCTTCAATTAATTCAAAAGGAATGTGGATCTACTCCTGAGGTGCTGCAACTTGCAAAACTATGAACTAGGAGTTCAAAGTGTGACATGATGAGTTTAATGGCCTGTTTCTATGCTGTATCTTTTCTTTGGTCTGCTACAAATCTATATATCTGAATGAACAAGGTTAAGGTAAAATTTGAAACAACATTTAAAAGCCAAATGTGGCTACAAGTAATGATACTCATGTAGTTTTCCAGAACAATCATTCGGACTGCATTATCAGCTGCATTCCATCATCACATTGTCTGTTCTATACAGTTGTCCATATTTCCCTCATCAATTTTATTCATTATAATCAGGCTTACGATGAGGTGTGCGCAACACGTCAGCATTGCTAAAGAATGGACAGAAAGTTGGGTGCAGTGAGTCAGCATCACTGTGAAGCAGCCTGAGAGCAGTGTGCAGTGATTCAGATTCATTGTTTAACAGACTGAACAAGAGACAGGAAGAGCATGAGCTTCTGAAACAGTATGAGAGAGAGCAGGGACAGTAACATCATAAAGAGAAGGTCAGAGCACATAGTCTGCAGCTTCTCAAATTGAGACAGTGGGTCAGAAGGTTCATAAAGAGAAGAATGGACCTGCATGAGAAGGCCAGTGATGGACGGGGATAAAAAATGGTGGCAGAGAATGCCATCAACTTGTTTCTTCTAGTAAGAGCCAAAGTTTGGCATCACAGGGAAACAATTAGATGATAGGTGAGTATTTTTACTGTGTCTTTAATTGGCCAGTTGGTTTAATCAGGAAAAGCTAGTAAGAACTGCCGATGTTGGAGTCTGAGATAACACAGTGTGGAGCTGGAGGAACAGAGCAGGTCAGGCAGCATCAGAGGAGCAGGAAAGCTAATGTTTCAGGTCAGGACCCTCCTTCAGAAATGGGGGAGGGAAAGGGGGCTCTGAAATAAATAGGGGGGGGGGGGGGTGATAGCAGGTAGACAGTGGAGTGGATAGGGTGGGAGAGAAGACGGACAGGTCAAGGAGGCGGGGATGAAGCTAGTAAAGGTGAGTGTAGGTAGGTAGTGGTGGGGATTGGTGGCTCCACTATCTACCTGCTATCATCGGCCCCCCTCTCTATTTATTTCAGAGCCCCCTTCCCCTCCCCCATTTCTGAAGAAGGGTCCCGACCGGAAACGTCAGTTTTCCTGTTCCTCTGATGCTGCCTGACCTGCTGTGTTCCTCCAGCTCCACACTGTGTTATCTGGTTTAATCAGGATATGTTATTACAGCTGAAGATGAAAATTAAAAAATGTACCTTTTAATTATCTAGTGTCCAATTAATTAATTGAGTAGAGGATGGTGTCCTCTATTAACTGGTTCAGTACAAGGAGAGAGAGATAGAGAGAGAGAGAGACAGACAGACAGACAGACAGAGACAGACAGAGGGAGAGAGAGAGACAGAGAGGTGAAGCAACTCATCCTTCCAAATGGCATCAAGGGTCTGGTGTTGGTAGGAGTTCATGATCGAGCAGGACATTAAGTGACAGAAAAGACTATTAACCTGACCAGAGAGCAGTGTTACTGGCCTGGAAAGGCTGCTGATGTGGATGGCTACTGTCAATTTGAGAGTTGTACTTTAAACAAATCAGGGAAACAACTTCACCCAGCACGGGATTACTGGACACATAGAGAACTCCAGAGGTCTTTTCACTGGATTTTATAGTTCTTGACTTCAGTAGTAACAGGACTGAGCATATTTCATACTCACAGATGTCTTTATAAAGGTCATATAGGCCATTCCTCCCATCATCAAAAGTTTTCAACTCTATACATCGTATTACCGTATGACTGATTTGTCCATTATTGTATTCCATGTTGCATTCACAGTCATCAGGGTCACAACCTCCAGAACAAGATCCTACAGGAAATTTGCAAGAACTATGGCATTGGCAAGACCTGCTCCAACCCATCATCCAGAGGGTAATGGATAGTGTGAACATGTGTACTCTGCATGACCAACAGTGCTCCTTGCCTTCCAAGAGTAAGCAAAAGTTGTCTGAGGTACCTTCCAGAGTGGTTTATGCACATAACAGTATCCATTCTCATCTAAGGGCTATTCTCCACTCTCTCTCTTTGGGCAAGACCCAGTCCTTTACATGGATCACCTCCTTGGGTCTTGGGCTCACCACATCCCCTCATGGGGATGGCTAGATCAATGCATGAATAGAAGAGCATAACACAAAGCTAAGCCAGATGTATGAAATATTGTCCATGAGAAGTGAGAGAGAAGCATTGAGAAGAAAGATATTGACAAGGTTGACAGGGCTGACTCTCCAATCAGCACAAGAGGAATTGTCTGAAATCAGAGTATCAAGGGTCAGAATAAGATACAGGATAGGTAGGACCCTGCACCCTACAACAACATTCAGTGGCTGGACATGTGTGGCCACACCTGTGCTGTTGAACCAATAGCTGGTGGGAGCCTCTTAAAACAGTTCAGAGAGAAGGGTTGCTTAAGATCAGAGGTCTGGTAGATGAGGAGGAGGCAAACAGTTCACTTGGAACTTGATGTGTCGGTGTCTGATGGCTCAAGTGGAGTCAGATAGTGATGCGGAATCCTGAAGTTACCGGTGTGTTGTGAATCCAGGGGATGCATCCAGTGTGAGGAGACCAATTCCCCACTCCAACAAACAATGCAGGGACGACCTGCCAGGAGATGGAAACTGGAGCAATCAAAAGGACTGTTGCTGGAAATAAAAAGGTGTCTTTGTGGGAAGGAGGACTGATGGACCAGATAGTTGCAGAATTCCTTAGCCCAATATAACCCACAGGCTCCATTTCATGTACTACCATATGTAAATAGTTCCTTGTTTATCCTTATTTTCCCTTTCAGTTTGTAATGACCTGACACCAGCAGAATAAAGAATCCTGATTGATTATCTTTCGGCCTTCCGTGTGTTTAAATCTCATGTCATATTTTGTACAACAGTCATAATATCCCACACCTGATAATTATCTTCATTACAGAAGGCCTCCATTTTCACGATTAATGGCCTACCAATGGACATACTGTCTCTGTAAGATTACAACCTCAATCTACAATTGATGGATACAGTGATGAAATGTTAGCTGAAGCACATTTTACATGACACACATGCTTAAGGGAAATGAGGATGGTAGAAAGGAAATGAAGCTCAGGAGTTTACAGATTAGGGCTGCAGCACATTTTCATTAATTTAGGTTTCATTAATACTACATGGTGTAATATATGAAGATATTATTTCATGAAATTATGGACTGTATCATGTGAGTTATGATTCTGCACCATGAAAACTAGTTTCCATAAACTTTAAAACTAACCTGCGACATATTAATCCTCCTACAATGAATTGAAGACAGTTAGATTAGATTTTTAAAATTAAAACAGGAAAAAATGTACCTGTTACCAGCATGTACCTGTTGCCATTTTTATAATGCATGTTTTGTGGCATGTGAGTATCAGGAGGTTGTCTTGGGTGTATATGTTGATGTAGAACATGTCATTAACATGTTGAAATCAGGCTCCCCACAGCAAAATTGGGAGCATTAATTAAATTCAAAGGACATCTCACAGATTTCCTGGGGTCTCTCTCTTCTTCCTCCACCAGTAGCCACAGGCTATCACAGATGATCCCTGATTGCTATTCTCTGTCACTGGTTGCACCACCTGCCTGCTAACCAGACTGTCAATGTGCTCAGGTACAGACCAGGAAATAAAAGGAAAAATAACATAATAATTAGGCCATTTCACATTGAGTACTTACCTGATTTCCTCCCATGCCATGGCAATTGAAGATGCCCACTTTTTCATTTTCTTTCCGCCCCATATTATCAAGGCACTGGTTTGTAGCAACATTTCTAATCTGAAATCAATTAGGTTGAAGCTATTACGAACAAATACATCCTTATTGAAGTCACTGTGGATTCAGATTTTATAAAACTGAAATACATGTGCATATGTTCAGTTTGATTGTACTGGAATTCACTCATACAAGCCTTAAGCAAAACTATGATCAGAGGAAATTAATTTCTCCACAACATGTTACTTATGTACTGTATATGTAGAATAAACAGCCTTCTATTTAAAGTAGCACTTAAAAAAAGGACAAATGCAATTTTTATGAACAGGATTACACTTGTAGTCGAGTTCCACTTGCAGGTGTGACTAGAGTCATGTTAAATGCACTGCTCAGTTTGGAATGGAAATCTGACTGTGGGGCCAAATATAGGCATGACATAGAATGGCAAAAACTCCTGACATATAACTGTTTTGGACTACCATAGGAAACACCGGTGTGCTCCCACTCAGCGGGCAAAAAATCTGATTCATAAAATCTACTTGGCCCGCAATTCTGTCCTTTTCCTTAGGGAAAATACAGATTCAATAATTTATGTAATGTCTACTTAATGCTGTGTTTTTCAAGCCAAACACGAATACATCCTAAAGCAAAAACAAAATAAAAGTTAAATACAGTGGATGCTGTAAAGCTGATTTGATGTATCATTGTCACGTACCAAGATACTTTTCACTGTCTTGTATTGTGTGCTAACCAGACAAATCATACTTTATATAAGTACATCAAGGTAATGGAACAGAATGCTGAATATAGTGTTATACAGAATACAGTGTTAATCTGAATCTGAAAACTTAAACAAATGCAGAAACTGAGGAGGTCTGGCAGTATCTGTGGAGACAGAAACAGCATTAACATTTTGAGGCAAGTATGATTCTTGTTCAGAACTGGTTTTTGAGTTGCATTCAGCTTGCCCTAAAAATTTGAGTTCTGTTTCTCTCTCCTCCGATGCTGCCAAAACATTACCAATACTTCATATTGATAATATAACTAGAAATGTTGTAATTGTACAAATCAAATGGTATCTGAACAAAAATAAAATTAAGATTTCAGTATGAAATCAGAATTCTTTCATCAGAAATTCTTCTGATAAAAAGTCATCCATCTGAAACACTAATTTTGTTTTTCTTTAAATAGTGGAAACCTGCTGACTCTTTAGTAATTTCTATAATCCATCATTTTAAAAAATAGCTTGGAGCATATCAGATCAGTGGAATAGTAACATTTTACTCATTCATAATTTAAATTAAAAAAGCCTTACTTATAATCAAGTTCACAATTCTCAAAAACAAGGAAAAGTTCTTAATATTCCTACCTCACCAAGTAAGTAGTAACGCCTTGGGATTTGAGAGTCAGGATAAATATTTTCCAAGTACCATGAAAAAGATTTACACTTCAGTCTTTCTCTTAGGCCTTTTCTAGCTGACACATCTCCATAATCCACTTTTACAACACCTAGAAGTAAAAAAGACCAATTTATTGGTGTTGGTTTAAAAAGTATTACTGTCATGGAAAGTACATACATGTCTTGAAACTATAATTTAATTTTAGGAAGAAATACATAAAACTCGTCAAAGTGGGAAGGGCTTCATGACTTGAGTGATAACCTAGACTGTCACTTTACCACAATTCAGGAACATGAGATGTAGCTTTCAAATAAAATGTCGAACCAAATTCCCAGTTGCTTGTTTAGTTTGACATAAAAGAACATTATTGCATTATTCAAAGAAAAGTAGGAAGTCTTGGTGGTGTCTTGGCCAATGTTTATCCCTCATTTAACATGACCAAAAAACACCTGTTAATTTTGGTGAAAAAATGGTTCCCACCCTTTGAATTATTTCACTGAATTCATTTACTCTCTTGTGCCAGACTTAATTGTTTAAACTGAGCAGCAGGTTTCATCAACAGGCCTTTCTTTTAGATATTTGTTCATGGAATATGGGCATCACTGGCTAGGCCAGCACTTATTGCGCATTCCTAATTTCCTAGAGGGAAGTTAAGAGTCAACCACATTGCTGTGGGTCAGGAGTTTCATATAGGATAAACCAGGTAAGAATAGCAGATTTCTTTCCATAAAGGACATTAAATGAACCTTAGAGATAGCAAGAACTGCCGATGCTGGAGTCAGAGATAACACAGTGTGGAGCTGGAGGAGCACAGCAGGTCAGGCAGCATCAGAGGAGCAGGAAAGTTGATGTTTCGGGTCAGGACCCTTCTTCAGAAATGGGAGAGGGGGAAGGGAACTCAGAAATAAACAGAGAGAGGAGGGGTGGGGCTGGAGAAGGTAGGTGGGATGGTGATATTTGAGTGCACGTAGGGAGTGGTGGGAATTGGTCAGTGAGGTGGGAGGAGTGGATAGGTGGGAGAGAAGATGGACAGGCTGTGTCAGGTCAAGGAGGCGGAGATGACAGGGAGGGTTGGTCATGGGATGAGGCCGGGGGTGGAGAGATTTTGAAACTAGTAAAATTCACATTTAGGCCATTAGGTTTTAGGCTCCCAAGGTGGAATATGAGGTGCTGCTCCTCCAATTTCTGGGTGGCGTCATTGTGACACTGGAGGAGGCCCAGGATGGACATGTCACCCAGGGAGTGGGAGGAGGAGTTGAAATGGTTCATGACTGGAAGGTGTTGTCGTTTGTTGCGAATAAAGCACAGGTGCTCTACAAAGCGGTCTCCAAGCCTCCACTTGGTCTCACCGACGTAAAGGAGGCCACCCGAAAACTGGAGGAGCAGCACCTCATATCCAAACTTGGGAGCCTACAGCCCACACTGTGTTATCATTAAGTGAACCTGATTTTTTTTATATGACAACTGACAATGGTTACATAGCTATTAGGCCAGCTCTTTATTCCAGATTTTATTGAATTTACATTTCACTTCTGCCACTAGGCCCACCACCTCCCCATTTGGGAGCTGTAATTTGGATCAACCAATCACTCAAGGGATTCAAATGGAACAGCAAACTTTCATTGGAATGAATCATTTATATGACTCAATTCAGATGAACAGAGATGGGCAGCACTGCAAATTAAACAAAACTTGAAATGATACTGGATAGCAAGAGTTATTGGGCAGAACTGCTGAACACAGCTAAAAGTCAGCAAAATAGAAGTTGCAACATTAAATAATATTAAGCTTGGTGGAAACGAAAAATACATAATATTGGAATAAATCATACAATGTATCAGCAAATAAGCATCAAACGTAACAGGAACAATGAAAACTTTCTGTAGTTGCCGGAAATCTGTAAATTAAATAGAGAAACAGTGCCAACATAGTAAAAAGAGTACACAGCTATAGAACTAGGCCATTTAGGTCCTTAAACCTGTACTGCCACTCTATTAGATTATGGGCATTTGCCACCCTTTCTCCATATCCCTTGTGGCACCTACAGAAAAAAAAATGTCAATCTCAATTTTGAAATATAAAATTGACCCAACCGGGGTCAAATTCAGAAGTTTCAGATTTCCACCCTTTGCATAAAAGAATAAAAAATACTGATTTTATTCCAAATGGGGCTCATTCTAATTTTGAGATGAAGAATGAGTTAATCTTTTTTCTGCACTCCCCTACCAAGTGCAATCACATCTTTATATCTAACTTATTGAATCCATTCACCTTTTTAAACATCACTATTAGCTTATTAAACTTTCTAAACCCTCTTTTTCAATCTGTCTTAACCATTTACCTTAAAAGCTAGTATCATTCTTTTGTGCTCTAACTGATCCCCAGGACAATATAGTTTTCCTGAGGCGCAGTGCTCAAAACTGATCAAGGTTTGATGAGGGCTTAATGAAATTTAAGTAACACTTCCTTCTGCTTGTATTCCAATTCCTTTGAGTGAATTTAATGGCTGGAACCCATTAAAATTTTTGTCTCCATTTTTTGGCTGGATTGAGAGACTAGTTGTGGTCAGACAGGTAATCCTCTGTGGCAGGTCACTACTGGGGAACACAGTAGCATGACAGAGGACTAGCAAAGATTGCAAGACAAAGGTCATGTGGGAAACTTTGGAGCGTCAGGTGGGAGGTTGGAAGTCCTGCTCTGTAATCCAGAAATATGAAATTCACTGACAGGAATTTCACCTTCCATGTTGTGCTATTGGAACCAGTTGTACATGCTCATATCTAGGCATTCCCAGCATGCAGCTGGAGTAATGTCATTGAGCCATCCAGTCTCTTCAAAAGGATTGTCACAGATATTCAATAAAGAAGCAAAAAGCAGTAAAATACCTTATGCAAATGTTTATAGAATGAAAATTAAACAGAAGGACATTTATTTGGATCAAAGTAAAGGTCAAAACTTCATAAAGATATCATTTTTATTTTAAATAGTTTAAAACACTTGATAATTAATTATTTGATTGAATTCCACAATTATAAAATTATTCATTCACAGCCAGTTCTGTTCATTAATCACATTGTCATTTAAAGCACGTTACACCTGAATGAACAAGTTGTAACTTTATTAAATGGTTTCAGTGATACGGGGATAAAAAAAGTTCAAATCCTTACTGATTGAGATTTCTGGCTGCCGAGGAGTCTACATCAAGGTCCATCCACAGTGTTTATTGTCTTTTCCCAATTGCCCTTGAGAATGTGGTATTGAACTGCTCTCTCGGATCTCAGCACAACACGGGGAGCAGATGTACCCACAGTAAGCTTAGGAAAGTAGTTCCAGTTTTGACCCAGTTTCATTACGGGTAATGACTTCCTCAGAAGACAGATACAGGATACGACTGATCGGGTACCCTTTTGTACAGTAGTTCCTGGGAACGGAGAAACTATGCCATGTTCTTCACAGCCTTTAGCACATTATTGATGACGATGAGCGCCTTGCCAAGATCATTCCCATGCCTCCACTTCTCACCTTCAAACAACCGTGAAACCTGAAACAGACCATTGTTCACAGCGAACTACCCAGTCTTCAGGACAACATCGACCACTATGCCACACAACCGTGTCACGGCAACCTCTGCAAGACATGTCAGATGTTCGACATGGACACTACCATCGCACATGGGAACACCACCCACCACGTGCACGGCAGATACTCATGTGACTCAGCCAACATTGTCTACTTCAAACGCTGCAGACAAGGATGCCCCGAAGGATAGTATATTGGCAACACCATCCAGACATTACAACAAAGAATGAATGGACACTGCAAAACAATTGCCAGACAGGGATGTTCCTACCCAATGGGGGAACACTTCAGCGGTCAAGGACAGTCAGCCTCCAATCTTCAGGTAAACGTCCTCCAAGGCAGACTTCGGGACACACAACAACACAGAGTCACTGAGCAGAGGCTGATAGCCAAGTTCAGTACCCATGAAGATGGCCTCAACCCGGATCTTGGGTTCATGTCGCACTACAGATGACTCCACCACATTATACACCCTCTCTCACACACACTCTCTCTCAAGCGTGCGCGCGCACACACATACACACACACAAACACTCTCTCTCTCTCCCCCTCACACATGCACATAAACGTATGGGGTGAATTTACATTTGCAGATTTGTAATTGCAAATACATTCTATTTTTTTCAAAAATCACACAATTTGTAGACAGTCCATGTGATTTTATTTTATTTTAAAGATTTATTTTATAAATTCCTATTTTGGAAATAAAACCAGTCTGACTCCAAGTTAATACACAGTCAGATTCTAAACAAGGCTTCATGTCTAAAATGCATTGTCTGACCTGAGATGTCACCTCTGGTATGCTAATAAAACCTTTAGTTACCTCAGGGCAGTGACTTGAAAGAAATTCTGGGTTTTGCATATTAATCCTTTCTAACTGATTAAAGATTTAACAGCTATCTTAGGTTTGTTCAATACATTCACATCAGTTCTATGACCCTTTGATTTTTTGCTTATAAGTTCTGTGTCTGATGCCACCTCTCTCACTGACACCTGGAGGAGGAGCAGGACTCTGAAACCTTGTGTCTTCAAATAAACCTGCTGGACTATATTCTGGTGTTGTATGATTTTTGACCTTATTTATTTATAATCTATTGACTTCTGCTTTAAAAATATTCAAATACACTGCTACTATCAACTTTTCAGGAAGAAATTCCAAAGATTTACAACTCAGAGGAAAAAAAAGTCTCCTTATCTGTCTTAAATAGATGATACTTATTTCTAAACAGTGACTCCCAGTCCCAGATTCTTCCATGCGAGGAAACATCCTTTCCATATCATCCTTGTCAAGATGAATCAGGATCTTTATATGTTTCAGTCAAGGTGTCTCTTACTCTTCTAACCTCCAGCAGCCTCATGCCTCACCTAACCAAGCTTTCATCTTCAGACAACGCACGCTTTCTGGGTATTTATCTGGTAAACTTTCTCTGACCTGTTTCAAGCACATTTTATTCTTCCTAAAATAAGGAGACCAATACTGCACACAATGCTCCAGATGAGGTCTCACCAATCCCCTGCGTTACTGAAGCA